TGTTTTTATATTTAATTAGCTAAATTTTTAATTAATTTGTATGAAATCGGTAATTTAAAACGTAATAGAATACACATACATACATAAGTAAATATGTAAATAGTATATACCCGCACAATCGAAAGCTAAAGGCCCTATTTTTTTAAATTCTGTATTCGTGGCGATACTTAGTGCATACATACATAAGGGTTAAGGCCGCATACGCCAGATTGTTCCTCCAAGTATGTTCAGTTGGTGCAGGTTACAGATTAGTATCAGGTGTTGCCTATCGCATGCATTTGATTAGTGAGATGGACACAGATATGTGGTAGATTAACAATTGATTCGAAAGATTTAAATTTAAAAGTTAGTTTTGGCTATTTGTAAACAGTTTGACATTTGAGTGATCTTCGATATATTTTTATCACGAAAGTTTATCTCAAAGTTTTTATGTATTCTAAAGATTGTATATGCAAATCGATCTGATCGACAAACACTATTTGTGTTTGCTTTTTTGGCACTGTCGTCAGACCCTTTCATTGCCCGGAATATCTTTGTGGCTGGGTATTCATATATTTGATTGGTAGAACTTGCAAATCTATTGCTATTGATTAGACTACCAAGCGATTTAATATCATAAACTTGCTGCTGTCTAAATTGATTTATTTTGACCTTGATTTCCTTTCTAGGTCCTTTACAGCTGTGAACAACCTTGGTTTTACTTGGGTTGGAACCACAAATTCCAATAAACCTGTCTGAAGGTTGCTATTCTCGCAAATGACTGCAAATGACTCGCTAGTCAGACGCACCGTCTATGGAGCCTATTATAAAGTCATCTGTTCGTCTTGTGAGAGTGTGGCTTTCCACCTTGCGGTCGCGTTGTTGGGCAAATTAAATTCTTTTCGTGCTACTGTGTGCAATTCATATGGGATCTTGTCCTCGTTTGTCAGTGTAACAAATGTTAATGGATTTTTTTATTTAGTTGTAGGCAGATCGTTCATTTCGCTCAGACTGGCTCCTGTATCAATGAGCGTGATGTAACTTTTATTATTAACATTTATTTCTATTTTGGGTAGGGACTCCGAGGATAATTCATTAAAAAAATACTGTTATTCACTTCTTTCTTAACATCAGTTCTATAGGGTCCTACCTGGCTTTGCCTATCCAAGCACAAGCAATTTTGGTCATGCTGCGAAACAGGTCGTACTGCCAATTGAGGTCTGTTTGAACTATTCCAACATAGTCTACCTTTATGGGTTCGTTTTGCTTTGGTTTCGTTCGATATAGACCAGCATTACGTTTAGAATTCTCTGCTTTTTGGAAATTACCCGAATTAGTATATCGCTTATTTAATCTACCACTATACTTACGTTTGTGTTATTCTTCTCCTTTAGATTGGTTATTCAAATCCTGACCTGTGCTTTTATTTTTATTTTTATTTTTATGATTTTTGTCGTAACGTTGACCTCATCGGTCTGAATACCTGTTTTCCATTTCTTTCGAGCGAACTCCTTTAGAATTGAATTTTCTATAAGTCCTGCTATTCATAAATTTTGTCCAGCAATGTACCGTGCGTCATTTATTTTACCGTGTTTATTTACAAAGTGTCCACATTCCCTTTGTAGATTTCGTGGGGTTCCGTATCTGCTCTGTATCTTAACTTCAGGGCTTGATGTGTTCCCAATCCTCCGGGTGGGGTAAATTAATCACGACGTTCTTTGCATCCCCTTGTGTCACTCTGTAATATATTGATCTGGCTGCACCCTTCTTCGTGTCCTCATCCCTTATGGTAGACAGCAAATATTCAACGCTGCTCATAAACGAGTTGATAGATACATCTTCCTTGCCTGTAATAATGGGCATATAGGAGATATTTTTCATGATCCTTTGCTGATCCGCGCTGTTCTATGACTGCCTTTGTTGCTCTCGCCTTGACAGTTCTTCTACTAATGCTACATGGGCCATCTGAGTTTTTTCGTACGCCATATTTCTCCATTTAACGTGCTCCAGCTGTCTTCTGGCGTGAATTTTTTCGATTTACCTGGTTCCTGAATGCTTTATTAAATTTTGTTGTGCGTGATATTGTTATGATCACTCCACTCCAGAATCCGCTGCCAGAATCCGATCATACGAATCTTTTCCTTAATTGATAGTTTTTACGTGATTTTGATTATCTCCGACATTCGCCTTTCCATCTCGAATACGAAATTTATTCGTTCGTTTTTTGGTTATAAAATTGTATGTTTTGTTGGTCATATTTTTATTTATTTCCAAATCCTTATTAATTAAATCAGTGTTATTGCTGTTATATATGGGAAGGTCGAGTTCCTCAATATCAAATCTATTGGTGGCTGTACGGTAGTACTTGTCCAGCACTTCCTTCCTAGAAGTTTCTTAATGTTTTACATTTTGTTATTTTCCTACTGAGGATAGCCATGGTGGTAATAGTTGATTACCATTGGTAACAGTGCCTACCCACTACTTTTAGGTTCAATAAATATTTTTTTTTTATACAAATACATGCAAACATATTGGTCTCCCCTATCACTGAGTTAATCACCTATTGATTCACGAAAAGTCGAAGAGTACAAATATTACCCCTTTGAAATGATGCGGATAACTGACTATCCCGCAATTTTCACTTATATCACCTTTTTGCATAACTGTACTCTCGCTTCAGGAATATATAGTTTTTTTTTAGACATGTGGTTTTCAAGAAGAAATAGATCGCATATAGTTTACTGTTATGGCCAAGAATTTAGCTTTATTTTG